CAAATACCGGCTGTCAAAATGACTTCTTCATTGTTACTTTGTATTTACAGTGTATTAATAATATGTAAATCTAAGGGGTCAGCTTTGATCTGCATATGATATCTTGTACAGCAATCCTACCAGTGAAAAAATAAAAATAACTAATGTCCAGTCACCTTCCCCTATTCATGATTCATGTACCAGACCCTCCATCACACTTGTTACTTTCCTCATTTGACACTGTCACCCCAGAGGAGGTTACAAAGCTTCTCTCTGACACCCACCTCACCACTTGCCCCTGGACCCAGTTCCCTCACTACTACTTCGGTCACCCTCCTACTCTATCCTACACTCTCTTACTCACATTTTCAATCTTTCACTCTATTGGCATCTTTCCCTCCCCTCTAAAGCATGTGCTGGTCACCCTAATACCCAAAAACTGGACCCCACCAACCTCAACAATCTCAGACCAATCTCCTTACGCCCATTCATCTCCAAACTCCTAGAACGCCTTATCTACAACAACCGCCTCAGCCGCCACCTCGCTGATAACAACCTTCTCGAACCCTTACAGTCCGGCTTTCGCCCCCTACACTCCATTGAAACCTCCCTACTAAAACTCACTAATGACCTACTAACTGCTAAAACCAATGGCCACTACTCCTTACTCTTGCTATTAGACCTTTCTGCTGCTTTTGACACTGTTGACCACCCGCTGCTCCTCAAAAAACTCCACTCGCTTGGCCTACAAGACTCTGCTCTCTCATGGTTCTCCTCCAACCTATCTAAGTGCTCCTTTAGTGTCACCTACAAATCTAACTCCCCCTCCTCTTTCTGTAGGCGTCCCCCAAGGCTCTGTCCTTGGACCCCTTCTCTTCTCCATCTACACCTCCTCCCTTGGTCAGTTGATAACCTCACATGGCTTCCAATACCATCTCTATGCCGATGACACTCAAATATATCTTTCTACTCCACAACTCACCCCCTCTGTGTCCTCTCGTGTCACTAATCTACTAACTGACATATCAGTCTGGATGTCGCAAACACTTCTTAAAACTCAACCTTTCAAAAACTGAGCTCTTGATATTTCCTCCCGCCCTGCGCACCTTCCCCCAACTTTTCCCTTGGGATTGATAACACAACTATCCACCCCTCCCCCCATGCCAAGGTCCTAGGTGTCATTCTTGACTCAGACCTCACCTTTCTTCCCCACATCCAATCACTATCCAAATCCTGCCGCCTTCACCTTCGCAACATCTCCAAAATCCGCCCCTTCCTCACCAACGAAACCTCAAAACTACTCATCCACTCCCTTGTTATCTCTCGTCTTGACTATTGCCACTCCCTCCTCATTGGCCTACCTCTACACAGGCTCCTCCCCCCTCTATCATGAATGCAGCTTCTAGACTCATTCACCTGACCAACAGCTCAGTGTCTGCAACCCCCTCTGCCAATCCCTCCACTGGCTTCCAATCACCCAAAGGATAAAATTCAAAATATTAACAACCACTTAGAAAGCCCTCCACAACTCTGCCCCCGGCTCCCTCTCAAACCTCATCTCAAAGTATCACCCTAACCGTCCCCTCCGCTCTTCCAAAGACCTTCTGCTTTCCAGCTCCTTCGTCAACTCCTACTACATTTATCAGGAATCAACCAATCCCCATGGATGCCGGATAACGAGAAGTTTACTGTATAATGTATATACTGTATATATTTTTTTTCTTAAAAAATGTGTTCCTCTTTAGAACTCCTAATAAACTCTCATTACCTTGTTACCCCGCTCACCAGTCCTTAGCTGCGGTGCATTCGTTTTCCTTTTTCAGGCTATTTTTCTTCTTTACTTTCACCTGGTGATCCGGCCGGTAACACACTTTGGGGATGATTTATAAACCGTTTGCATAGTAAACAGCCACTAGATGGAGCATAGTAATGGCCACTAGATGGAGCCGAGGAGCATAGGAAATTATATATTATAGGAAATGATATATATTAGAAATCACCCCCTTCCTGTCCTAGGGTGACAACACTCTCTCTTTGCACTCTGTCTGATGAGGGACCCTCACTGTACTGTATATATGGAGATGCATAGGGTACAATCTCTGTACAATCAGCTTTAAATTTACCAAAATTATGTAATATACCGTCCTAAACTATCCAACCAATGTGTATCCAATCAGACGAGTCCTTGCATTGCATACTTCTTGGTAGAGCTAAAGAAGATTGTACAATCAGATTGTAATGCGTGTGTTGAGCTTGAGACACTTTCTCCTCATCTCCATGACATAGTGTGGAAGTGTTCTGTCACAAGAGTTTCACCGGCAACACGCATTGGTGGTGCCAAAGTGACCGCACGGATGGCGTTGTGCATACACTAACTGAAATCACAGGAGCCCTGCTTGTCCAAAGCAGCGCTAAATGTAGAAAACAAATTACCGCCCGGCAACCCGGAACTGCATGTCTCCACTCGACCCGCAGGAAAAAAGGCTGGGTTCAGGTTCAAACCCTAAGCCCGTCCTTGGCAGGAAGCATGATCATTGCTGATTGCACAGCTAAAGATCTGACTTGGTAGGGTGTGCCTGACCTCTGCAGAGACCACTGCTTCCACACAGAGAGCAAAGCTTATTTTCTGCAGGTGCTGGCAGAGGATGAGTGTTTCTACTCGGAATAGAGCTGATTTAGAACGAAAATGTACTGTTAGCTGTTAAACGCCTTTTGTTTTGATGCACATGACATGTATTTAGTTAATTTTAGTAAGAGCTCAATGGCCTTTTAAATTTTTCACAAGTAGAAAGGGGGAGAGAGAGGGAACAACCAATCATCTTCTCTCTTCAGCTTGTTCAGTTAAGCTTTGAAAGTGCAAGGCAGAAGCTGATTGGTTGCCATGGGCAACTGCTCCATATTTTGATCAATCCCTCTCCTTGTTCTAGCACTGGGATCATGTAAACGTCCTATTACAACACATCACATTCCATCAGCTGGGGGTATGTTCCTATAAACGATAAATATGAATACAGCTGTGCAAATCACGTCCCTCGTCATGTATGTGGCATGAATGCCACTTCAGTCACGTGATCAACAAACAACACAGCTGTAAGGGGATGACGACGTGTTTTCAGTGTTTTGTTTTTTTTTTGCACTGCAGCAGTCCACGTTCCTGGTCACGTGGCGTCAGAGACAAGCCCCCCTCTCACGTGACCTGCCAAGCCGACCACATTACGTAATGCGTTCTATTTCCAGAGACAATCGCTCGGCTACGTCACAGAGGGGGTCCCTGCTGTGAGTGACAGGTGCGTTCCAGCAGTGACGTCACCCCTTTCCCTTCGCCTGCATAGCAGCAGCAACTTCCTGAGCGCCCATGGCTGCCTGCACAGGCGGGGGCCCCATCGGAGAGCTGCGCACAGAGATGGCAGTTGTTACATGTATGTGATATGTGCATAGACTTCTCTCTTCTCCAGGAGCCATTCATTACCGTGCACTGCATCTGTCCATGTTGTAAAGATACCAACATGACGTCATCGTCTCCATATTCTCATATATATATA